TACATGGATACTATCAGTTTTACGGAACTCCAAGAGTTAGCCTCAAATGCAACAGAAATACCAGAGCTCGAAGATAGTCAAGAGATGCGCAAGTGGATATCAGCGTTAGAAAAGGCAGACCCAGGAGGAATTGCTGTGGACGTCATCAGCCAGCAAAGCAATAGAACTGAACCAAGAGCACCTCCAAGACCATCTTCCGGTGATACCAGTTACGAAAAAGAGCCCCGAGGTACATCGATATCGGAATCTTGTAACCGAGTACACTCCCGTGAACAACCCCTGATATCTTGTTGTGATACAGGAGAGGCAAGCAGGCACCTAATAACCCCTACAAAGCCATTAGCTACCGAAGGTGAAGAGCATTGTACCGCTACTGATGTTTCTCGGAAATCTCCAATGCATGCAGGGCGTAAAAGGAGACCTACCTCAGATGCAGCGTTGACTTCAAAAAAACAACGACTATCTCTCAATGCATCTTCTCGACAGCCACTCTCAATGGATAGTCCTAGTGAACTATCACCAAACGCTCCAAGGAACAGGCAGCCACTCAGCCAGATCAATACCAATCCATCTTCCGGAAATCGCATGACAAGTTCCCAAACTGAAGTATTAGAAGGGCCCCTATCTAGCTCCCCAGCAACTCAACTCGTAGCGTCGCCGAATGAAAATAATAATAACAGCTCAGTTGGGTGTTCTCCTGATGGACCGCCCACCATCTCCACCACCAAAGTAACTTCTAGTCCTATACGAGACAAACATCTGTCAGGAAAGTGCTTAGCACATAGACATTGCTCTCTCGCCAAGGAGAAATGTATACTTGCTAACCGCTCTATTCTATTGTCGCCGTGTATTGCTCAGTATGCATGGGTCACCGATAACCTATTACGGGACCATGGGGTGGATACCTTCCTAACGGATCCCAAGACGTGGTCCCAAGAACCTACGCCTAGTTTTGCATATAAATGGGATGCTTCGCTAGGAAAGACAAGAAAGTCCCGAGTTCGCAAGATCTGTCTCGTCGAATCAAGGCGGGTAGATGCCACATCATCCTTTGTTAAAAGCATAGGAACAGCTGGCTTGAAGAAAAAGAACGGAGAACGCGAGTGGGTGGGCGTTTACGACTGGCGAATACTAGAGGATATCTCGGGTTTAGAGTCTGGGACGACCAAACTAGAAGGGATAGATCTGTGGAGGAAGCACTACGTGGCGATTGCATAGAGCGATAGAACCAGTATTATAGGTGCATTGCGTTGCATTGTATTGTGAAGGCGTTTGAATTTCCGAGAAGTATATTCCACTGGAAAGGAGCACTGCATTCAGGAGATTACCCAAGTACTATGCGATATAGAATGAATATCATCTAGAATAGATGTCTTCTCAAGTTCTTAGAAGGCTTCAGCCAGCATCGAAGCAATACTCAATCCAATTTCCAAATTTTGCTATGCTCAAACACTCAATTGAAAAATCTCAAGTAATCAGAAATGCTGTATCAGGTTTTGGCAAACATTGAGATATACACGTGTTGAATAAGCGGCTAGGGAGATAGAGTTATATTATCATTATGGGCGCGATACATTCTAAGGATATATCGCTTTCTAGCTTTCTAGCTTTCTATAATACTCTAAATAGCAGGCTCGCGGAAACAAGCTCTCTATACAACCCTAGAATAACTCATAGCAAGATCCGGATTAGCCGGAAATGCCCCCATTTAGATCTTCCCAATCAAAAGGTTCCTAATCGTTTCCCGGCCCGTGATGACTACGGTGCGGTATAAAGTCTGTATATCTAGGGTGCTAAACACACCGTCGGCAAAGCCGAAGAACAACATGGGCGGGATCCAACCACGAGCGTACTCGAGCGCGAAGCAGCTCTCGGGCATCTTGTACTGCTTGACGTCACCGCGGCGCATGTGGTGCACGCTGCCAGCTGGGTAGACTTCGCGCTCGAACTTGCCAGGTACGAATGCCCACTGCTCGCCCGTTAGGATGTGGAAGTAGTCGTCTGCTGTGTGTCGTCCCGAGTGGCCCTCCGTGCCGGCCGCGGTGCCGAAGATAATCAAGTACTCGGTGATGCCTGAAGAGACGAGTTAATATTATTGAGAGGCTAATGGATAAAGAGTAACGAGAACCAAAAATTAATAGCTGGCAAATTACTTACTGGAGTGGATAAGATACATAGCACCCATGGCACCGCCGGCATTGTTAAACATCCATTCCTCAGTGACGTTCCACTTAGGGTTGACGTGTTCCGGGTGCTTCTGGTATAGCTCAGTGACGATATAGTCTACGATCTTGGCGGTGTCGTTGCCGTGAGCCTGAATACCGCGTGATGCTACGTCTTTCAGCTCGTCTAGGTCGAAGATGTAGAAGTTCTCGAGGTTGCGTTCGAGGAGGTAGACAATCGGGGTGAATATGCCGATTAACACACCGATGATAGTGAGCAGCCTGGCGAAACCGCCGGGAGTTGAGGTATTAGGCGCCATTGCTATGCGATTTAAGAATGGGAAGACACCGAGAACGACAAACAAACAGAGAACGAAACAACAGCAGCGCCGTGACTTTAATATACAGACGTCGTCAAGTTCCTATGTACAACTCAGCTCGGAAATTTAACGAAGCTAAAAAAATTAAAAAAGCCATTTATAACAAACATTTTTGATAGGTACGTACCTCTCAAAATAGGGGTCTAAGCTCAGCTCAAAGGTGGGTCCCGGTAAACCAGACTGCCGGATCGCACCATCTCAGGAACACAACGGAGCGTACCCGGTATCGTATTCGTACTTTTTATCTCTTATCTCTTATCTAAAGTTTTATCGGTTCATAAATGCATCTCGGAGCAGAGCCAGTCCGTCTGCAGCCCGCTTACACATCGCCAATCACAACCGACGACATTTCTTAACCCGCGCTCCAATTCGAATTTCCGATCCAATATTTCCCACTTGCTCACTGCTGTGCCGCGAAAAAGATGACGCAGGCCGTCGCGGTTCCCGGGCAGCTTCTTGGCCCTGCGGATAAGTACTCCGCGGGCGCCGGAACACACATCCACGAGGCGAACTTGTACTCGTCGCTGCTGGGCACGGTTGCCGTCGCGCAGCCCGAGAAGGTCCCTGGGCCTGCGAAGAGATTGACGAGGATCGCGGCGTTGGCGGCGGGCAACGACGGCAGTAAGAATAACAGCGGCGGCAATGTCCTGCCTACGATCTCGGTCTCGCGCTCGGGTGTCTCGGAGAAGCGCGAGGTCCTACCCGAAGTCGGTAACGTGGTACTATGCCGCGTAACGCGCATCACGCCGAAGCACGCAACGGTTGCGATCCTCGTCGTCGGCGATACGGTACTCGAGGCCGAGTGGCAGGGCTTGGTCCGGGTGCAGGATGTCCGAGCTACGGAGAAGGATAGGGTCAAGATCTACGAGAGCTTCCGGCCGGGTGATATCGTGAGGGCGCAGGTGGTAAGTACATGCACATTACATCAATGGGTTGGATAAAATGAGAGTGTGTCGGCTAACATGTTATCGCGATGCCAGATCTCACTTGGCGACCAGGCTAACTATTACCTCGCAACCGCGAGCAACGAGCTCGGCGTCATTATGGCTACGAGCGAAGCTGGGAACCCGATGTTTCCTGTCAGTTGGAAGGAGTACAAAGACCCGGAAACTGGCCTTAGTGAGCCCCGAAAGGTCGCAAAGCCGTTTTGAGCTTCGAGACTACTTATTACGGACCCAAGGTTGAGAACGACCATATATCACCAGGCGCTTCGAGCTGGTTTATAACCCAGAAACTATCGGATTGTCCCTTTATGAATTTTGCTCCAATTCAAATTCCAAACCGGCGTACTCGGATTGTTTCAATCGGCGTTTAAAAGTTATATTCCGCAGCTAGAGGATATCGCCGTGGCGACACTCTGATGGATACCTATATAGAGGATTATGAGATGGTCTGTCTTTAGTTCTTCGGCTTAAGGGGAACTTGGCATCTGTTCAAGCGCATTGGTTTAGGCCGAGTATGGATTGGTATATTAACCTATTCCTAAACTAGGTATATATACGCAGTGGCATACTGACTCAATGTTCTATCGTGAGTATTACCCTAGCACTAATTGCGGGATCAACTAGCACCAGCCACGATATAAGCAGCATGAATATGCACAAGTACCTTTCTGATGAGTTTGGTAGCTTATAAGATAAAAATCCAGAGACTCGGAAATAGGGGACGATGATATGAAACTCGATTCTTTGCGTCGACCAAAGATGTTTCGTCCTTACTAAATACTGCGACGCTTAATGGAACGTGCGTATGAACCCTTAGGTACTTTGAATCTGAACGATGGGTTGCCGTTTGAAGATGTTTCATAGGGCTTGTTGATCCTCCACAACGTCACAGCCTGATGTGCTTTTGCATAATCAGTTGCGCCACTAATGCGCGGCTGGTCTACCTAATACCAATTAAGTTTTTACGATTTTAGTAGAAGAACGAAGATATTGAAATTAAGTCGAGAAAACATCATAAAAAATTGTTCGGAAAATTCACAGTAATTAAAGACATGATGATAGGATTCATGATAATTTAAGCGTATAAAGTACCCACTTACCAAAAATACACGTGTAGGTACGTGCAAGATGAATATAGGGAGGCGCAGCATTGCTAGTACCTAATGCAGGTCCGGTCGTACAAACCTAGTCCCGCCACCACAAATAACTTGGCGTCTTATAGGTTAGATTAGATTAGGTTAGGTTAGGTTGTTACCAGCCCAGTCTTGTTCCTGCCCGCAGTATTCCATATCTCGCATACTTGATCTTGTATCTTGTTGACAACGACCCGACGACGAGGGCAATTACACGCAAACATTCAATTAAAAAGTACCTAACCTAAGAAAAAGAACACCGAGAAATCCTAACCGCATCGTCAATTAAAAATCAGCCTGAATTTAAACCGTTTCATTCATTAGTACCTAACTTACACATTTTACCCCTCGTACAACATCGATACCTATATCACTAGAATTCAAGCCCGAACAAACGCACTTCACTATATCTGCCGCACTTTGGAGCAAACACGACGTCACACCAGCAGCGACATCTCCAGCGAAACGAACGAACCTTTTTACCCGTCTAAATCCCACACAAACCGCGGCCGACATGGCCACAATGACAGTGACATTCCCACCGATACCCATATCCAACACCATGACAGCCACCAGCACCAGCACCAGCACCACGACAACATCTTGCTGCCCGAACTGCGGGCTCTCCCTACCCCCCGCCTCCGAAGCGCAAATAGCCCTGCTCCAGGCGCAAAAACAGATCGAAGACCTCGAGGCCCAGGTGCGCCTGCTCAACCAGAAAGCCACAGCCGCAGTGGACCGGTGGGCCGACTACGAAGACGAGCTCTCGCGCCTGCGCGCCGCATCCACGACGTCCGTCGCAACGACTACCACGAGCAACAACAGCCCGCGCTCGTCGTTCCTGCCAACGGCCGCATCGGGCGCCGCGGCGCGCATAAGCCAGCTCCTAGCGCCGCGCAAGTCGGTGCCGAACCTAGCGACGCACGGGGCTCGGGGGTCGATATCGGTGCCGGCGATGCCCCACGGGGACGGGGACGATCTGCTGGAGGCGCTGTCCCGCGAGCGGGAGCTGCGGGCTAAGGCGGAGGGCAAGCTGCGGGATACTAGTCGGGAGGTGGAGGAGCTGAGCGCGACGCTGTTCGAGCAGGCGAATGAGATGGTGGCGAGCGAGCGGAGGGCGCGCGCCAAGTTGGAGGAGAGGGTGTCGGTGCTGGAGCGCAGGGATGTGGAGAAGAGGGATCGGTTGGATAGGTTGGAGGGTGCGATGGGGAGGTTGGAGAGGGTGAGGGCGTTGTTGGAGGAGCGGTAGGGAGTGTTGGGGTCTGTTACCTACCTACCTAGCCTAGATGTGGGAGACGGCCTAGGACGTGGTCTTACATAGGACGGAAAAGAAAAGGTTTCCAGAGCGGATAAGAGCGGATCGGACCGGCTGAGGTACCCGCACTCGTCCGGGAGTCATGTCATAGTCTGCTAGCGGAAGGGATATGGTAATCGGTCACAGGTCACAGGGTACGAATTTCCTTGGTAGTCACATGAGGGTACAGCTGGGCGTCCCGGGGGTACGGATAGGGATAGGGAATCACGGTACGTCTCCTAGGTCCGTCATGCGAGGGGAGTTCTGGTAGCCGTCCTCATTTGATTTGTATCCGGGTGGTGAATTTATTTTTCTTTGCCGTTGTTCAGGGGCTAGGGAGGGAATCATAGGATGTACCCACAACAAAAGGACTGGTCTAGGTATTGCATTTTACATCTAGGACTGCGGGAGGTAAAAAGGGAAAAGGCAGGCATGGTTTGAGACTACTAGGCAGGTAGGTAGGTATCTAGGTTGTATAGTTTTTTAGTAATGAGGCGGGTATATATCTGAAGCCCTTACTTCGTTTAAAATCGCCTGGTTTTCAGTTGGTGAAAGGACGTGGTTATCGTGATAAATAGAAAAGAGAATCTAATAAGCATAGCTAGTCTGTGTCTAACTCTATGTCAATTATTAACCCTTTTGAATTTAAAAGGTAGTAAATTATGACTTCAATACCACCTAATATAGATACCCCTGGTTAATGTTTTTTCTTAACTGGAAGTGCTAGTATAAGCCATTGCGATAGTATACATCCCACTTTCTAAACTTCATCTGTTACTTGAATTTAGTCTTCCTTCCTTCCTCGGGTATTTTTAATACATTCAATATAAATATACCCATCATTTCCTTTAATACCAACTATACATATTCGAAACACCACAGCTACGAAACTCCTTACCTATCTGCTCTAAATGATTGCAACTATGGATCATACACTGTTTAATGTAGGATTACACTACACTAATATGAATCACTCTTTTTCTTATTTCATTAAATGGCTTAAATACTACATAGACAATTACGGATTCAAGTAATATCTTGGGCCACTCACGCAGTGGCTTTATGCCATGTGATTGAATGGGAAAGAGTAGATACGGCTTGTCCTATCTCCTATTCGTTACCTACGATGCCACGCAGGAGAATTCCTGTACGTTTGCGACTTTAATATCCAATCCCACTATACTCATATCTCGGTTCCGTGGGTACATATAGGTATTCTTTGATGATTTCATAGAATACCAAAAGATAGCCAGTATACGCAAGCTCCTTGCAGAGTTTTCCATCTTTCCCCCATCACTTCTATCTTTATAGCTTTCCCATATCCATACATATGACCTAACAATAACTACCGCCTCCAAACTTGTATACTGCCTATCGCTGGGGTGCATGACCGTAAGTTCAATTGTGAAAACTCCTTTCCCCATTTTGCCTTATAGCCCCCGAATATGCGGTATTTGGATACGGGCCTCACGCATGCCCTGGACGTTGGATCGCTGCCGTCGAGATAAAGCTGGTGATGGCGTATATCATCGCTCACTACGACTTCGAGATGCAAGACAAACGGCCGGAGAACATCTGGTCCGGGCCTATCCAATTGAGGCCGCAAAAGACGACGGTTCGGATTAGGAGGAGGAAGGAGAAGGATATTATTTTTGTTTGATAAATAAGGCATAAGTAAACCTCGCTATTATCGGCGGTATGTAGGTAGCTATTGAGCTCGCCTCTGGGCTCTTCTCTTTCCTGATTACTTTCCTTTCGGGGTTTATTGTACTTAGTGGATTGATGATATGTGTTCGAAGTGATGGTACGTACGGATTATATGTAGGTGGAAGATAAAGGGGTGGTGCAAGGCGGGTTCATAAGAGCCGCTTTACTAACGATCGTTATTATACTGAACATATTGAGGGTATTTACTGAGGTTATTGGCTAGGCCCGTAAGGCCAACGGGTGTTTACCACTCCTTTGGATTACTTGTAGCCTCACCTTTCAGTTAACAACGATTACAATCTCGCCCATTGCTATTAATGCCGAATTCGGTTCCTCGTGAGCTATGGAGTTGTCTGTTAACACTGTTGTGCCGTATGATAACTAGCTCCGGTGTGTCTGCTTATAGGTTTGGTAATACTTTGTAATCCGTAGGAGAATATAAAGATCGATACAAACCGCACCCCACGCTTACTTGGAGAAATAAGCCCATACTTACCTATATGTAGAATAACTCCTCTCTTTCGCTGTATAAGAATCTCTACCTGCAAAGGTCCGTCCACCTTATATACCACCGGTAAGACATACTTTCATCTATCTACGATTAGTACTTCGATTCTAAAATTGCTATGGTGAAGCCTGTTACTGAGAGGATCAGGTAGGCTAGAAATCATTCTCAGGGGAGATTTTCTTAGGGCTTGCGCTTGAGAATTGGCAGGGCGATAAGAAGTACGCTAGGTACCGACGCGATAAAACGTTAGTAGATCGGGACTTCTTTGACGGCTGTCCCTTGTTAGACGTTGGGTCATTGTCATTTGTCGCCTTCTCCTTCTCCCTGTGTTATTTTTACCTTCGTTGCGATTTTGGTATGGGAAGCTTGCTCGTACCCGGGTAGATAGGGGCAGTTTTAGCAGCGAATCTTTATTGCGTAAGAGGCGATAAATGGGCCCCGAGGTTTTCCTTCACGTCGAGTATCATCGTCCGTTTTTTATTGACGTAAATTCGTCTGTATGCAAAGACAGAGATGTCGAATAATCTTAGGTAAGAGCACGATCAGGGGTGTTCTCCCGGGTGTCTACTCGCGGCATATCAAGAACCCTGTGTCGTACGTGTGTTAGCAGAAAGCAACGTTGTGGTGGAATTTCCGGTATTTACTCTACTCTCGACTCACAGGGTGCTACCTACCTACATAGGCACATACGGATCTCCGTTCTTTTGGTATATCTACCTACCTACCTACGCACCACATCCATCTTGTCTACGCAAAGTATTTGTTTGCTTCCGAAAGTAGTGTAACGATACACGGCAGAGAGCAACCGAGTATAGCAGGAAATGTTGGGGCCGAAGGCCGAACGGTGGGACCGTCTGTCTGTCGGCCAAGACTTCGGTTGAGCAACTCTGTAGCTGCTTGGTATAGAGGATGGGCGGATAATGCTCCGCCGCTATGTATGTATGTATGTGTGTGTTCCTAGAATCGTTCCGTGGTTTCTCTCGAAGCAAACCGCTAGGCTAGGCGTGTATACATGAGTCGATGGAAGGGATACTTCGAGGCGTGAGTAGACAAAGGGGATCTGCTCGGCCTAGGGAAGTCTACATTCGCTAGTGTATCTGCATTGTCACAGAGCTGGATTGTCCTAACGCAGGAACTACTATCGCTTCTAGAAGAAGAACCTGTTACGGCAGGAAGCGACAGGCATCGAGGATATGTAGGAAAGTCTGCTTCTCGATACCCTTGACGCATGCAAAACAGTGCTGTAACCACGTAGTTCTAGTCAAGTGCTTCAAACCCTTAAAGAACCGGGGAAAAGAAGAAGATTCATCGATGAATTCTGGAGAGACACGTTTTAGATTCCCCAGCGCACCATAGCTTGGTTAGAGCGTATCATTGATCTCTCCCCGACCCCCTGGGAGATGAAGTACGGTACCAAAAGCGGATAATACTCGATGACTTCAGACCAGTCAAGGCCCCTCAAGCCACGATCTTTTAGCTTGGGTATTAAGCCTTCAGGGAAACAAACCAACTGAGTTCGTCCCCAAGGTTTTATGTAGTAAGATCAACAACGATTTGCTCTCCCTCCATCCCCCATCCCCATCCGCCCTGCCAGCCGCACCCTCCCTCCCCCAAAGGGTCCCAGCTTATGTATGTATACTCGCTTTCTACCGGTGGCTGCGGTGCTATGTAACAAGAACGGGCTATTTCCCTACCAATGGATGCATATATTCTCCATTAGGGTTTAGGGGGGCCCCTCGGAGCGGAGCCTGCCTGCCTGGATTGACAGGGGCTGTTGGCGTGATGGGGCTAGCGAATACGAGATTCTGGTCACCACCAAAGATCGTCGGAGGCTGGGGGTTGGACGAGCAGGTAACAAGCGTCAAAATAAGTCTGTAGCACGGGAAACCATAAATATTCAGCTGCTGTGTAAAAAAAAATTCGGCGGAATAGGAAATCTTTTGATTAAATTGAGTATAATGTTGACTATGGAATGTGTTTCTCGCCTCCCCCCTATTTTGACTCCGTGTTTTGACTCAGTACTTACTGGGTCCGACAACAAGCCGATGGATTTTATAAGATGCAGTAGAAGCTGTCTAGCTTGTCCACATATGCATTGTCTATCTGCAGGCGGGGTGCGGCATCGCATTGGCAGTGTCCGTATGGTGGCAAGGATGGATCATGCAGTATGTACATATTTGATAGCTTACACCTACCGTCGACCAGAGCGAACTGTATTCGGCCCATTATTCATCAGCCGTGGGGGAGTTGTTACAACTAGTTAATTCATCGAGATAACTACTGCTTCCTACTAACCGTCGTTAGCTTTTGAGTCCCATCTTCTTCCGGCGTACCGTGAAGACGGCCGTATCTATCCCTATATGGTAGGTATCAACTTGGGTGGACGAGGTAGAGAAGCTATAAACCTTTAGATTTCAAGGTAGGCTATGTAAAAGCTTTAGTCTCGGAGGTCGAAGTTGATCTGACCCGTCTTAAAGGGGGAGGAGAGAAATGCGGGTGTTGATAGCATCATAGATCGACCCCTGAGCAAACGTGGGCTCACTTTAGGTAGGAGACGGAGGGCCTGTGATCGCGGAAACACTACTGCACGGACGGATTATCGTAGCCATTTCAAGATCTAGTAAGGGCCGCCATGGATGGTGATTGTTCACAGTGTCTAAAAAGAGCCTATGTCGTCTTGCAAATTGGGTATTCGTGCAGCGTTCTAGAGCCGTGTACCTACTCAGCTTGTCCGGAGGAAAAGTGCCGTAGAAAAGAGCTGTGTAGCAATAGTCCTGGCAGGTACACGCCGGGTTGTTTGGGCAGATCGATCCCACGTCTCCCCCCATTCCCTACCTAAGTATCAGCGAGCTAGATAAGCGAGAATGTACTTCCTGAATGAGGTATTGGCCGTTGCCCAATGGGAATCTTGCCTATAGTTCGATGTAAGGGCACACAGTCCATCCAGGTCCTGTAGATTGCTTTCAGGTCTGGAACTATGCATCTGTGTAAGTACTATACCTCTCTCTCACAGTGTCCGTAGATATACTCTCGTTCTTGTTCTTGTTCCTGCTGCTTTAGGGGGTGAAGGTGCCAGCAGCGGCTTGCTTCGATGACTAAGAAAATGCTGCTCGCGCCGAGGATATTATCGGCACAATGGATGGGTATTGTAGCACGGTTATACCCGACGAGGTGTTTCCGCCGTGGTAATGGGTCGTGGGTTAGCTCCGAAAGCCCAGGTGCCGAAACGGCGGTTTCTTGAAAAGACCTGGGCCCTTTCCGCCGGTCTTTAAACCGCCGTCATACCTTACGACCACGGCCAAACACACGATATCACAAGCTCGTGACATTCCGGCGGCGTCGGGAGTCTAGAATGTAAGCCATGTGACGTAATAAGCCATCGACAACCAGAATAGCATATCATTCGACAATTGCTATTGCGCGCTGGACTAGCGGCGTGGCGATTTATGGCAAGTCGTTCGAGTGTAACGTCTCATAGGGCTGCATAATTCCTCCTCTTATACCTAATGATCTAATGATCTAATGATGTTTTGTTGATGCTGTGACATAATGGGACGACAACACACCTAGGTAACATGAATGGAATGGCGTTCCGGGCTAAGCTGAAATGCGCCTCCGATCTGATCAGCGGTAATGCGAAATAAAAATAAAGAGTAATAAAAGGTGATCTAAGAATAGATAGCCTCGTAGCAAAACCTCGTATAACGCGGCTGACCCCCGGCCATCGCGTCTAATTGGTCGTTTAGCTTAGGATAGCTTTATATGACCCTTTGATAATGCCGGCGTCCAGCCTAATTAGGGTCCGGCCGCTTAGTCCTGCTCAGCCTCCCAAAACCCGGTTGAAATAATGCTAGTGACGTTTGTGAGTAAGGAGAAATCCAGAATGAAGAGCTAGGTATTAATGTAAGACATACCACGGCATGTGACTTACGATACTTGACTACCCTGGCGCGTTCGGGTCGACTTGTCTAAGAGGTAGGATGTCCGGGCCGCTCAAGGGTAAGAAGAGTAAACAAAAACTCTTAAGACTGACCGTGTGAGACATGACACGGCTCGTCCCGACTCCAATGACGAGGTTGCATTTCTAGGGTTAGAGCTGAATGTTAAGCGAGTTTAGGGGACTGGGTTAAGGCCGGGGATGTTTCGCGACTTGTCATATAAATTACTCGGATCGCTTCCGAGCACGCGATACGTAGAGGTACTAGGCTCACTATGTTAGGAACTCCTTACCAGTTTATAATAATGCCATCATAAACACTAATTAAGAGAAATTATAATCCAAAAATAAGAGTAGACAAAAACGATATTTGGTATTAGAAGCACCGCGTTTCCTTGTATTACAATTAATATTAGTTATCCGCGTGGGCGAAACTACGCCGCCATCTGCGAGCACCCAAGTCAGACCAGAAGGTCGGCTTGTTGCTGCGAGTATTAACCCTCATGCCTTCCAAGCCATGGAGCAACAAGCGATAACTATATGCTCCGCTGTAGAACCTTCAGTTCATACCTCTCCTTCTCTGATACTGAATTTGGTTCGGTATCAATCCAATTAAAACAACGCCATTAACTCCAAATATTTCCTTTTCGCAACAGCTCCATGGCCTCTGTTGCTACTATGCCGCTCTTAGATCTTCAGCATCCACTCCTGAGCCCCGTCGTGATCTTCTCTATTCCAGAAAAAATCATATCCTATAAAACAAGAACGAAATAAAATAAATCAAAAACAAGCAATTAACGCCGTCCCAATGCATATGACAGACCGCCCGTGAGGTCGTCGGATTTTTGTTCCCGGATGAAGAGTTGTAAACAGTCGCTATGCAATTTGGTCGAGGGTGATGGGTGGGGGGTATCCTATCGATTTTAAAACAATGCGTTTCCAAAGGGAGCGGCTGAGATTCTATTTCGATTATATAGAAATCGTCGTGAGTCGTAAGGAATGTAAATGGTCGGTCTATATAATGCGATATCTTGCGAAAGGAGTGTCTATTTTGGGTATCTTGGATGGTATCATAAGGAGTGTCGTAAGCTTGTTCATTATGCAATATGTATTATGCGTTTCGTGTAACATAAGGACCGTGGGTATCATTGTGTCGATATAGACGTGTATGTGCGTATCTTTGAATCCAGTCAAAGGAATGTGATGTACAATTGCGTCTGTGGTAAAGTCGGAAAAAAAGGTATTAAAAATTTGGATCGGGATGAATCGGGCTTCGGGTGATGTGAGTGGTGATCGTGAAGATGGTTTCTAACACTCTTCGTGCTCTCTCTTGAATGGTACCGGGGCTGACGATACCGAGGAATTCTGCCGGTGATGGTGATGCTGGAACATTTGAGGCGTCATGAAGCTGGGTGACGGAGCCGAGAGAGAGAGAGGAGTAGTCGATTCCATAGAAGCTCCGTGCCATTGGTCGGGTTTGAGAAATGGTGAGGGTGCATAGTCCTGCTGCTGCGTTGGAACCTCAAACGGGAGGTAGTGTGAAGACGAAGATGCTAAATGCTGCGTATTGGTGTTCCTGAGCGGTATGGTCAATCATTTTTATCCTCTTCCACGTCAAAACGGAGAGCCAATGTGGGACTTCAGAGCTTAGATCCACACGGTCTGGATTGGAGAGACGAACCCGACACCAAAGTTGCTGGGCCCTACAGAGCCAAGAGGCGGATAGGCCGTCATCCCAGAATCCCACGAGCCAAATTCATCGTGGTCGCTATATGCAACGGAACCCTCTCCGAATGTTGACGACACCGGGCTGTAGCCTCCGTACGAGGGCGACGGAATGTTGAGGTACTGCTGGCTCGGAAACGGCGAAGAAATGACCAAAGGGCTGACTGCGTTGCCGGACTCCTGCTCGTGACCCATCACGGAAAGATCCTCAGTGCTCCAGCTGAACGCCGGATTATCTCCGTAAGGTAGATACGAGGCCGTAGAAGGGGGAGTGCCTTGCATGACATCCTCGCTCATGTAGAAGTTGGGCGGGTCGAATTGCGGGAATGACGGCGTACGAACCGGCTGGACCCAACCCATGCGAGACCGAAATTCGTTAACGGTATCGATGGGGAACTCCATGAGCGTAAGCGGCGTCTGCGAGTCTCCGTCGAGGCTTCCAGAAACGTTGATCGAGAGCAGTCGTCGGGCAATTTCCTCTACCGGTCCGATGGCGAGACTACCGAAGTATGCGGCGCCGATCTCAGGGAAGAGACGTTCCATCATGATCGCAGCAGTGTAGTAGTGCGCAACAACGACCAAGGCACTCGGAGAAGTACCGTTTTGCTTGAAGCACATCACAGGAAGCCAGAAGAGCCAGGTGCGGAGAGGTCGAAGTCGATCAAACTGATCTTCAATCGACTGAATCGGGCTGACTTTGCGAGCACCCTTAAGGAAGCATACCAGCTGGGTCGCCAGTTGAGGGTCCTCCTTGTTTTGTTTCAGATGAGCTTCGACCTTGGTGATCTGGTTAATGGTGCGCTGGAACGCATCAAGATCCTCCTTCCGCGGCTGATGAGGCTTGTGATCCGGAGTCGGGGACGGTGGCGCAGTAGGGAACGTGCTGCTTTCAGCAATGAACTCTCCAAATTGGGACTCGTGCTTCCAGGGTTCCATAGCATCGATGACCTTTATATCGTACTGTTAGTACAACTAACATACTTTCAAGCGACAGACTTGTACTTACGGACGAGGTCCCTTGCATCAATTGTGTCCAGCTTCGCCTATTATTTCTCCGGGTTAGCCTTTGCCTCTCGGATACATGCATTTTATTGCCTACCAATCTGTCGCCTGCCACGAGAGCACGAGCGAGGCAGCTAGAACGGCGTCTGAGTTTTCACGTGAGAATGATCCAATGGCTTCCTGCAACCCCTTGAATGCAACACCACGATGCTCGTAACCCATGCTGCCCACATGCGGACAGTTAGTCAAGAAAGCGATGTGCTCGGCCGAAAAGGCGAGCAGGGCATGCATAACATAGCCATGGGTAGCACCGATTTTAATGATTCTACACGCCACGAGTCAGCGAGGTTACTTTGAACGCCAAGGAGAAAAAGACATACGTAGGAATCTGACGGGTCCAAAGGGTAAACCCGTTAGCATCCATGGCGCTCATCTCATTGCAGATGGCAGCGACGTGGAAAATCAGCCTAAGATCCTCAATCGAATAATACTGAGGTGCCGGTGCTGGGTAGATGTTAAGGCTCGGGAACGGGAAAATTCCAGTTCGCTGCCACTGCTCGACGGCGGCCTCAATCTCAGGGGTCCACATCAGATCGGGCTTGTCGGGAGTTGCCGCCCTTTCATCAGGAACAGGCACATCGTTGTACGGGCATCGGACCTTGTGCTTGGTACAGTTACGGCTACTCAGGGGTCAGCAAGCTGCATGTGTCTCTACTCTAGAAGGATTATACGGACCATTGGGGGAAGTTCTCATCACATCGGATATGCCGACGTTTGCTACGAACTAATTAGTTCCCGTCTTATAAGACCGCCATAGGCCAAACAAAGCATACCAATTATCGCAGCCCTTGCGCGACTTAGTGTGACTAGAATACAGCAATTAGTACACCGAGCATTAAAAAGGATTAGTTTGCTCGGGGGAACAAACCTGCGTCGCGGGGGACCACCACCTGGGCCAGCCATTGTAAAAGCTGTATTATAATAATTAAGTAAAACGAAAGAACTAAAACACAATATTAGTGCCGGCACCGAGGTATCCGTGTCCGGCAGGCGGCCCCGAAGAGCGTAGTTCGAGCCGGCCAGAAGAATAAGAACGTACGTGAATTGGGGCACGAAATATCTTCGTGCCGAAAGCGAGCGAATAGGTTTCGGATTGGCGTTAATCAACTAGACCTGGACGATAGGTCAGAGGTATATATGTATATACCTATATAAATATGCCTCCTCTTTGGATGTTCTTGAATAAGGCGAGAGAGTAACGGTTACGCCTATATCACGACATAGACCAAGTGTGCTGTTGTTTTCTTAAAACCTCTTAACGATTCGAGGTTCCTCGGGGTTCGTGGGATCTACACAAGGTGCGCACACAGACGAGCAGATGCGGGACGTTGTTGATAAGCCTGGTATTTGATAGTCTTTGCTGGTCGTTTCCTTCCAGGTGTTTTAAGCGATTGAATATATTCTCGAGACTCGGAGTACTAGTAAACCGGAACAGGCTATGCACGGTGTCAAGTGATTCTTATCAGCGGCTTTATGGCTTTATGGCTTGAGATGACTGAGATGACACAGCGAGACGAGTCGGGTTCACGATTTTGACGGCGGGATCCTTCGAGTACAAATCTCCAAACACACAAAAAAAGGAAAAAGCGAATGACAGGAGCCAACGAGGACTTCCTAAAGGGGAGATGAGGTAAAGCGAGTGTGTGGTTGAGATTAGAGCAAAGCTCAGGTTTTAAATTCGGTGATGATATGGGAAGACTAATAGAATGGAGAAAATCAATGGGGGACTGGAGGGTTGTTAAATAACTAAACTACCCGAACGGCGACGTTAAGGCGTAGGCTCTGGTGGGCTTGATGGGCTTGATGGGCTTAGACGGATGTACACCGTGCCCGGTACCAGCTTGTGACTGTCCTACTTTCCGGAAGAGGAAAATACAGTACAAGGAGTACATCCATGGCGGACTTGTTATGGCGCTTGTTATGGTGGGGGCGGCGGGAGGTTTGGTGCTAATGGAACACTATGATTTGAAATCGTTCAAAATCATTCAAGTACCTCTTTACAGTATTCCTAGGTACGGAGCACCGTTACTTAGCTGAGTTACTGTGGGGGAATTAGTATAACACATGCACAATACCTGATGTCTACATAGTACCTATGTAGGTACAAGGGCAACTCGGTCGATACTTTCACCAGGTTAGGTACATGTAGGTTAAGTAGGTACCTAACCCTTAGGGCATATAAACGGTATACACACACACATGTAAGGCATATAGGTACATACATGTACAATACATACGATAGTTCTTCACATAGGCTATTTGGGGGTTTGAGCGCAATGATCGAATAATAATAATAATAATAATGATAATTAATTCAAGTGGAGGCTATCGTTATCAATCTATGCCACCACAATACTACTACATAGCACGCCGTTGGCACCGAGGAGCCCGGCATCTTGGGCACTCGGTGGATGGATCTGTTGTGCACACTAATAGCGGGCAGTGCACACTGCACAGAGCATTCTGGCATGCTGGAGCGGAAATGGTGGTGGGAAAGTCAAGCGACCTTGCGACCTTAGCCTTAGTAGCCCCCCCAATCCCCCCCAATGGCTCTGAAAGGATACAACGGCAGCGTGCTGTGACAGTATATGTATATCTCTCTTACACACTGTACGAGATGCTATCTATTACCTCTGCGTACTGCGTTACTTGCTATTAGTCCCGGCACTGGCACGGACGTGTGTGATGCGAATCATCGTCAAGAGGGAGTGAGGGAGTGGGTTGAGGAGTAACTGGGTGTGAGAGGTGGTATCTCTCACCGTTCCATGATCTCAGTCAGATCCCTGTCAATGGACATCTACGTACAGGTGTACATAAGAGGTAGCATGTGTCTCTAAACCTTTCTTGGCTTAGGGACGACGGAGGCGAAGCTAACTGCTCGGCCCCATCGGACAGGATCCTCTCGCTCACTGGGCCAGTGGTCAAAGTCAGCAGCTGCATCGACCATGTCCTGTCGCGCTATCCCAGGGCACATCCAGGGCATTATCCTGCGTGTGCCGAGTTTGGGCTGGCATCGTCCCATCATCCATCCCATCCGCAACCGGTCTTTGACGCCGAGGAGACGAAAGATAGGGCGGCTGACGGCGGCGATAAAATCTACACACGTGTAGTCGCTCGAACGGCGTCTTATATCCCAAGGACTTTTCTGACATATCCTCGGAGCTTTCTCGTCGATTCTGTGCTGGCCATGCGACATTTAGGTAAACCAGACGAAGCCCGAAGCCCACGACTGGCTGTTGGACATGTCAGCGTGGCGGGGCTGTTAAGAATCTCCGACTCCACTGGCATTACAGAACGGCCATACTGGATGAGATATTGTTATGCGAAAAGATCCAGTAAGCTTTAATATGATGACCTGTGATCTTGTAGGAAGCAACGGGTCTCACTAAACGTGGCGGCGCGACAAATACTACTAAGAACGTAGATAGAGTCAATAGTTCAACTCATGATTGCTTTCACTGCAAGACAACCTTGACGGTATGCTAGCTTCTATCAGCATGGTGTGGTGGCATGCATCAGCGCTGGCCTATATTGAAGCCTAGTCTGTAGGAATCAACACATAGGCGTATATATTTTCCATTGGGCGTATTGTGTATCTATGCCACATGCCGGCATGCTTCAAATCCTCTAAAGGACGAACCAAGTCAGCTGGTACACTAGCAATCCCCTCATAATACAAGGACCGCACATGATACAGTAGGCCACTGTGTTTGGGGGAAAACCGAACTATTGCATGCCTAACGTCCAATTCCATCGCACCATTAACTACCTACTTACCTGTGAGGCATGTCCAAGTAGTCCTCTACGTCTGTAAAATTTAAATACCTAGCTACCTACCTAAGGTACCTAAGGTATCGATAAAGTAACAAATTTGATCAGTGGCGAAGGTACACCCAGTGATTCGGTAAATCAAAGTGTTCCGGTCTTTGTGAGATATTCTTTAGCACTCGGGATGCCTAATAGACAAAGCAGATAATAGCCCCTATGACCAAGTGAGTGCTTTGTAAACCAAACGGATTCTACCCGTATACTAAAGGGGGGAGTTAGTCCAGAGATTTTCATACATACCTAGAGACAGCGGTTTCAGGTGAAAGAACGGACACCCAAGCCCCATTACATTTACGGCTTAAGGATTATGTCTTGGACCAGTGGCTAAAATTTTTTGCGTCCCCTTCAAAGCACGGGGATTAATAAGATCCCGATACCGGGAGAAGAAGTTCACGAAGAATAATTAGCTCCAATATTTTTTTTCTAGTCAGGTTGCCCGCGGTAGAATAATAGCAAGATATCCCTACGCCATGTGTATCCTATCAACAGACATGGTCTATCCCTGTGTATGTATGGGCAAGGGAGAAAACTGCCTATACCGAGAGTAGGTAGGTATCTATCATCGAACGGAATTGGTCTTAGCAACGTCATGTTGACCATTTCATTTCCTTAAAAAGTCGAAAGTGCCGGCCGTAGATCCACAAGGCGACAGTATTTATCTGTGCGCAACTCCGAGTTACATCTATCCCAAATGGACTAGAGCCCCGAGATCACATACGTAGGTATGTATCAGATGAACCCAGGTCGAGTTTGAATTGTTCGCTGTGTCAAAGTTTAGAAATATAAAAGGAGAAGCTGAGCTCCGTCCGCTCGCCCAGCTCGGCCCACAATCTACAAGCATTGCAAACTGCCTTGGGCCATAAAAACATACCGATTAATAATTTGGACTATTACGCAAGTGCCCAGATCCCTACTGTCTACGGAGTACATACCCGAACGTTTAGGTCCCGCTCCGGACGGAGCATCCACAATTCTCGGGGGACGGGCCAGCAGCTACATATTTACATTCTGCCAAGAGATCCTTGTTGAATTTTCATTGCGATTTAGTAAGACCTCGGCAGGCTAAAATAAGGAGGAAGGTGAGCCATGATGTAATGATACTATCCTATTTTGAAAATTTTGGTCCTGTCAGTTACATTAGCAAGATTAGTTTGATGGCATCAGTTTTACGCTACTATAAATCCCATCCCCACTTGCGGAGGGCTACATACAGAGGTTAGGTACCTAAGGTAGGTAGATAAAATATGGTAGAAAATAAATAAACCTATAGTAAGCCCTATTTACCCAGCATCTCTTTTTTTTTTTTTTTTTTTTTCGCGCATTATCGCTCATCGCATTCCTACAAAATGGCACATTCATCATCGTGACTTTCCCATGGTTTTCCCATAGTTGATGGGGAAATTTGGCAGGGGTATTCTGCAAAGCTCGATCTGAAGGAGACAGGCTCAACGTCGGTTGGCTGAAACAGCAGTTTCTCGTGTCCATTTTTGGAGCCAATCTGAAGTGGGTTGCATATCCAGTCAACCCAGATAGGCTCGTCGCGGAACGTATGAACCGACAAGGACCCCAGCCTGCCGCCCTTATTTACCCCTGTCTTGCCCCGGAGCCCTGAGCCCTAAGTCCCTGACGTTTTCCACGTCCTTGACGTAACATAGTATGCATGGTGATAGCCTATTCCGAAGAGGAAAGAGACCTCAATCAGTAAAGCGCCTCGGTCAGCGGTGAGGAATCGAACCATATTGCTTCTAAAGTATCCACTTGCTCCGACGTTCTTTTACTTTGATTGATTGGTGAATTATCGCGTCCCCTTCATAGCACAGCCTCATTTATCAAGCCCTGAATGACTATTTCGCGTGCGAGGGACGTCAACGTCAAAATCGCTGACGCCCTGACGCCTCAAAGGGACTTGGAAGATCTCATGCCCCCCCCTGAGATGATACATACACTAGGTCGAGGGGTCCGGCAGCTGAGGTTTACGTGATCATCGATGCCGAGACCCGACACCACAGGTGCAGCACCACCAGACCCATAATCGACGATCTTCAAAACATCCAGGGCTCAGATCATTGAGCTTGAAGATCATTAAGCTTGACTCCATTGCAATTGCAACACAGACAGTGAGTAGTAGCATATCCTACATACATATCTAGACCCGCACAATAACAGCCGTGTAACGTGCAACTTTTTGATGCTGCTATTTTTTTGTCGAGGCCTAGCCAACCCTTTTGTGCTACCATAAACCTATAGCATATCATAGGCCACATCAACAAATGAATTTCTGGTTGTGTGACAGCTCAGCCACAGCGAAGGTGCCGTTGGCAGCGAAGGCCGAATAAGGATACATACCAAGGGACCGCCGCCAACGCAAAATCTCCGTCAGAACCAACTCCTTAATTATCCTTCGAGTTGTCTTTCCAGTTACTTCAATCTATATGTGCTTTGTTTTCCCCAAGTTAAGCGAGTCATAAATGGTAAAGCTATAATAGTGCTCTATACCGAGGCATATGTTTGGCTTGTAAATAGGTACGTAAAATACCTGGTGTAGGTACACGAATTTTTCGTAGAGCATTGTAGAAGAAGAAAAAATACAGTATTGCAATACTGTACGAAAGTACAATCCCAGTCCTGCACCTGATCTCCAGTTACTTAGGTACTTACAGCCCGTTAGACACTAACCTATGTAACCAGAT